CAGCCGGGGGCGCGGAACCGGTCTGCGTGTGGGATCCAACCCCTCGGGGGGCAGCGCCGCCGCGCTTCCCAAGCGGCGCACTATCCAGTGCGCCACCGGGCCGGCCCCAATTAATTCTCTCTTAACCCATCTGTTTTCTGGTGTTCCTGTTGCTACATATGACACATTACTTGAGCCAATTACCAATGTCTTCAGGGTATTCTATTCTGATTGCTTATTCTACCTCATTTTTATCCTCCATGTTATGTTTATCCTCCATACCTCCTCTTACCAAAGACTCATATTCCTCATGTACTTTTAAATTTAAATTAAAAATGGCGGCCCCTCACCCCGCACCTTAGACCCAGGCGGAGGGGGGGTGGGGGTGGGGGAGTAGCTCCAGGCCCTACCCTAGCACCCTGAACCAGCATCGCGCAGGTGAGCCCACCGGGGGCAGTTGGCAGCAACACCAGCTGGGGAACCACACAGCTCCAAGCAGCCCCTCATCCCACCTCAGACCAGTGGGGAGCACCAGCCTATGGTTCCGACCCACCAAGTTTGGCCCAGCAGAATTCCACACGCTAGGGGCTCATTCTACAACCACAGAGTCTCAAAGGGGAACCTAGGTGGTTTAACATAACCACCACCACACCTACTGTCAAGCTAAGACAACTCACCCCCACAGTAGCAACCAAGGCCACTCCATAGCCAACCTCAGTGTAATAGAAGAAACAAACTCCCTACCAAATGACCAAGCATCAGCAAAAAAACACTAGAAGCACAAACAATCAAGAAGAAATGACACCACCATAAGGATACAGTAATGCCCCAAAGTCAGACTCCATGGAACAGGGAATCCTTGAAATGTCTGAAAAAGAATTTCGAGCAATGAACTTAAGAAAACTTGAAGAAATAAAGGAAGACTCAATTAGAGAACACAATGAAACAAGAAAAAATTTCCAGGATATGAAGGAGGAAATCTACAAAAAGATTAACGCCATAAAAAAGAGTGTAACAGAACTACTAGAAATGAAAGACTCACTCAATGAAATAAAAAACACGATTGAGAGCTTGAGCAGCAGGGTAGAGCAAGCAGAAGAATTTCAGAGCTTGAAGATGGTCCTTTGAAATAAGTCAGGCAGCCAAAAAAAATAAATAAATAAAAAGGAAAAAGAATTAAAAATAATGAGGAAAACCTACAAGAGATAGCAGACAACCTCAAGCACTCTAATATCCGAATTGTGGGTATTTGTGAAGGGCAGCATAAAGGAAAAGGTATTGAAAACCTACTCAAGGAAATAGTAACAGAAAACTTCCCAAGTGTAGGGTGAGATACAGCCCTTCAGATCCAGGAAGCTCAAAGGTCCCCAAACGGATTCAACCCAAAAAGATCCTCCCCAAGACATATTATAGTTAAATTCGCAAAGCTCAAAGACAAAGAGAGAATTCTACAGGCAGCAAGAGAAAAGTGTCAGGTTACTTATAGGGGAACCCCCATCAAACTAACAGCAGACTTCTCAACCGAAACCCTACAGGCCAGAAGAAAGTGGAACGATATATTCAAAATCCTAAAAGAAAAAAACTGCCAGCCAAGAATTCTTTACCCAGCAAGGCTCTCCTTCAGAAACGAGGGAGAAATAGTGTATTTCCCAGATAAAAGTTGTGGGAGTTCACCACCACACGACCAGCCCTGCAAGAAATTCTCAAGGGAGTCGTTCATCTGGAGTCTGAATAATGGTGACCATCATCATGAATACACAAGAAAGAGCAAGACCCACAGTTAAAATAAAAATGCCAGCAAGGAAGAGAAAGAAGCTAAATCATTCCACCTCAAATCCCTAACTCACACTGAAGAAGAGAAATAAAAGACGAAATAGTGATCAAAAGATATTTAAACCACCTAAACAAGTAGCAATTAAATGACAGGAGTTAAATAACACTTCTCAATAACTACTCTGAATGTGAATGGACTAAACTCCCCATTAAAAGACACAGACTGACTGGATTAAAAAGCTAGACTCAAGTATATGCTGTCTTCTAGAGACCCACCTCATCTGTAAAGACACTCAGACTAAAAGTTAGGGGATGGAAAAAGATATACCATGCAAATGGAAACCAAAAACGAGCAGGAGTAGCTATTCTTATATCAGACAAAATAGACTTTAAACCAAAAAACATTAAAAAAGACAAAGAAGGCCATTATATAATGATAAAGAGATCTATCCAGCTAGAAGACATAATCATAAACATGTATGCACCCAATACTGGAGCACCCAGATATATTAAGCAAACACTCTTAGACCTAAAGAAGGAGATAGGACCTAATACATTAATAGTGGGTGATCTGAACACCCCTCTCTCTGTATGGGACAGGACTTCCAGGCAACAAATCAACAAAGAGACACAGGATTTAATCTACACCCGAATGGACTAAACTCTCCATTCAAAAGACACAGACTAACTGACTGGATTAAAAAGCTAGACCCAAGTATATGCTGTCTTCAAGAGACCCACCTCACCTGTAAAGACGCTCATAGACTAAAAGTGAAGGGATGGAAAAAGATATACCATGCAGATGGAAACCAAAAACAAGCAGGAGTAGCTATTCTTAAACTGTACAAAATAGACTTTAAGCCAAAAAACATGAAAAAAGACAAAAAAGGCCATTATATAATAATGGGAAATATCCAGCTAGAAGACATAGCAATCATAAACATATATGCACCCAATACCAGAGCACCCAGATATATTAAGCAAACACTCTTAGACTTAAAGAAGGAGATAGGACCTAATACATTAATAGTGGGTGATTTAAATACCCCTCTCTCAGTATCAGACAGGACTTCCAGGCAACAAGTCAACAAAGAGACACAGGATTTAATCTACACCCTAGACCAACTGGACTTGGCAGATATATACAGAATATTTCACCCAACAGCTAAAGAATACACTTTCTTCTCATCAGCTCATGGTAAATTCTCCAGGACAGACCACATATTAAGTCACAAATCTAGTCTCAGCAAATTAAAAAAACTGAAATCATTCCAACAATCTTTTCAGAACACAATGGACTAAAACTGGAGATAANACTTGAAGAAATAAAGGAAGACTCAATTAGAGAACACAATGAAACAAGAAAAAATTTCCAGAATATGAAGGAGGAAATCTACAAAAAGATTAACGCCATAAAAAAGAGTGTAACAGAACTACTAGAAATGAAAGACTCACTCAATGAAATAAAAAACACGATTGAGAGCTTGAGCAGCAGGGTAGAGCAAGCAGAAGAA